AGGACTGCAGCGTATAATACTGCTGATTAGCTGGCATAGAGGTTTCAAGATCTCCGTTCAGCGCCTGTTCGTGCTCCCCTCCCTGGCATGCCCCAGCCACACTGTTGCTGAAACACCCCGTACAGCAAACCAAATCAAGCCATCAAAGTGCAAAGCGGTATTCAGCGTCAGCAAGGGGATGTTGGCAACCTAACATCTAACAGAACAGTGAAAGGTCCTTCCCGAGCCTGTGAGAGCTTCTGGTCTGCACATTTCCATCTTAATTTCCTCCCTGATAGACAAAAATATTTTAACTGGTCAGAACGAACCTGGTGCTCAAAGCATCTCTGCTGAGATCTTCCAGAACTTGGATGATTGAACTGAACAAAGACTTAATTTTCAGTCCCAGACTTACGAAAGGTCCCTGCCTCATACACGGGTACCTGAAAGTAACTGCCAGGCTTTGCTGGGCTGAGGCTGTGCCCATCCCGCAGCCTGCTGAGCAGATCTGCATCTGAGAAAGGGGCAGCAGCGTCCCCTGAGCATCTGTCACAGGCACAGCCACATGCCTGGCCATGCCTCCAGGTTCACACACGTTTGTTTCCATAACCATCTTCCAGGGTCAAACAGGGACACTTCTGCAGCAAAACCTCCCTTTTTTTCTGGGGATTTATTACTGACGTTACTATGGTTTCCATCTTCAGCTCAGGCCTTAAACGTAAGGAGCATCGCTGTGTGCAAATTAAGGGAATTTTCCAATTACAAACTCATTGCACAAAGGGACACTGGCTCTTTTCGTTCCTTGTTTTTATTTATTACATTTGTGTGGAGGGACAAGTTCTCATTGTGCTACACAGCCCTCAAACCAGCAGCTAGTCAATAGACCTTTTTTAATTTAAAAGCTGAATGAATTTCTGTTGATATTGAATGACTTGCACAGCTTTTTTTCCTTACTGTACAATTAGTTTTAAATGTCAACCCCCACGTTTGATCTTCTGTGAAGTCAGAAACAGACTTCAGTCTGTACTGTTGTACAGTAACAGATCCAGAATCCAGTGAATCAACACTTTTTGAATGGATTTCCCTGCAGCTGTGCTCATGCCTGCCTTTACTTCCTGCAGAACTCTGGGTGAATTTACTTTACTTGGATAAGCTGAAGCCCGCGCTTATTTTTCTAGGTGTGTGCATAAGAACTATCCCTGCTGTTCATGCATGGTTGAGTCAATAGAACAGAAGGATTAAACATCATGTTTTATTATGAGCACAACTGTGCACACACGGGCCTGTCGCATATTGGCGTAAAGTATTTAACAAACCAGAAATGCACGCTAAACTGCTATAAATGCCGTGATTATTCAGATAGTCACTGATAGGGCATCCACACAGGGGAGGCAGATCTGAATAGCTACAGCACAATTATAACCCAGCCATTACGCTGGATAATTTCCTCGCAGACACGCCAGACTCCCCCAGCACACAACACAGCCTTTGAGCCAAAGATCCATAAGCCAATTTACATGGAAAATTAGAAGGTGTCAGAAGATGCAGAACTAGACAGGTCTCAAGGATATTAATTCCTGCTCCCTTAGCCCTGAGCTTTCAACATATCATTAAGATCGCTGATGTTAGACTTTCATCAATGCCATGAAAAGAGAGAATACTTCACTTACGCTGTGCTCGTGCTGGGTGAAGATAAACCAGCTAAAGAACCAGCCTGCTTGTGCAGGTTAAAGCACTTCAAGCCAGCCACAGCGAGACCCTCGCTCCGACAGCAGACGGACCACGGCTCGCTCCCACCTCTGCCTTTGCTGCAGGGCTCACCCCAACCCATGGCACCTCTCTGCATCACAGAACCCAACAGTGCGCAGCGGGCAAGAGAAGACAAATGACACTGAACAGCTCTTTGTGGAAGTAGCTAATGTCAAAGGTTCCCCAGCACCATTCCCTTCCTATTTTCACCTCTTCTCAAGCTCCCTAACCAAGGCTATAGGCACCCAGGACCATGACGACTTTGCTCCGGGGCACACCTCCCTCCCTCCAAGCACTACAAGTTGTTCATCAGAGTTTGATAAAGAGGGGTGTAGAGGACACCCAGCACCCTGCCAATCAAGACTACCATCTATGAATTTATGATACATCTGCAAGAAATTTGCTCTGGGCCAACAAAGCAGCAGCCAATTAATTTGCAGCTGGGTGCAGTTACATCAATAAAAGTGGGTAAGGGATGCAAACTAGTGCCTGCTACAAGCAAATTAACTGTCTGTTTAGGTAGAGCTGCACACAGTAATGAGCTGATAGCCATATCAGTGTGTCATTAGGGGAGACACTAGAGCACCCCTTGGATGAAGTTACCAAGTTTTATCTCACCCCAGAAGCCAGGGCTTCACACAAAGGCAGGGCAGAAAAGGCCATTTCCATCAGGTTTAACAAATACAGCTGTGAGATGCTGAGGTTCAGCCGTGCTGCTTCTCACAGGGCCTTCAACCTGCAGCTGAGGTGCTCCCCAGCCTGGCTCTGCATCCCCTGCCAGCGACATCTGCATGCATCTGCACAGCAAGCAAGGGCTCGTCTTCACGGACCCTGGGCAGCAGCTCAGCTCACCGATGGCTGTGCCAGCAGGGCTCGGCAGCACAAGCTCACCTCGTTGCGCCGAGTGCCTCCTGCCCTGCCCACCAGCACACAGCAGCCTCTGCACAGTTGTTGGTTTGAATACAGACACCTGGGGTTTGGTTTTTTCCTCTTCTCCCCAAGCAGCAAAGGCTGGAAGCCCAGAGGACCATTATGCCTTACTGTGTGTCAGACAGGAACCCCCATCCTGGTTCTCCAGCTCTGGCTTTTTGGGTATGATTGCAATACAAATACCTGACTTGTTCCAGTTAAAGCCTGCAGTGCTGCAGCCCCCAAGAATTCAGGAACAGGAGACAGACTTGACGCTATCTATAAACCAATAACACAGGCAGCACCCTTCCTCCCCCAAAGCTTTCCCCCACAACACAGGAAACCAGCCTTTCAGTGGCTACAAGAAGAAACAGCAGCAAGTTCTCAGCTCTCCAAACACCTGGAGGGTGCCTGCCAGATGTGTTTGTGAGGCCTCTCCCACCCACTTGCCACCCTGTAACCACGAGTCATTTTGGGTTCTTATCCTTGGCTATTGGTGCTTGTGTGACAGGACTCTAACCCTCCGGCATTTTGACTCTGCCACAACAGGGTCAGCATCAGTGGAGCACACGCTGCGTGTGACAAACCTCTCCCCAGGATCACATACAATTTCCTCCACCATCAGATGGGAAGCTGTCTCTGGAGGAAAGGGCAGCAGCAGTTAAAATTCAAACCAGACAGCTAGACCAGGACTACAACCACATCGCCACACACATCGCTGCTGTAGGCAGCGCTGCTCCTGGTGCCTTCACACTGAATTCACGCCCGACCACGTTAATAAGGCCTTTTGAGACAGGCCATGAAGTGACATTAAATTAAATACCAAGACTGAGACTATCACATCAGAGGCACTCCTCTTCCTCCCAGGAGTCTGAATGCATTTTAACTCAAAACTAAGAGGACTGGTGAGGTGAAAGTGTTGTATTTTCCCGTTAGCATTTCCCCACTCATTTCTCCTCAAACGAAACACCAAGCAACAGCTCCAGAAACTCATTTCTCTTGTGAATTAACATGGCAGGGGAGAAGCAACCAGGCAGCACTGTTGCAGACCAAGAGAGGAGGGAGATGGTCTCAGCAGCTATTTCAGTCTTCCAGCTGAAATAAAGACCCTGCCCAGCAACAGCTGCAGCTCCTCATCCAATTTTAACTCTGCAAGAAAGCAGCCAAGTTCTGACCTCTCCACAGACATCCCAAACCCTGCACCCCAGCCTGCCAAACCACCTGGCCCTGCAGCAAGGCACTTTCTCCTCCCAGATCTCTACTTCCAGATCTAGATCTGCAGATTTTTCCAAGAGACTTGAATTCATTTAATGCCACAGTTAAGGCTCAACCTTTCATGTTCTTTATCCTTAGAGAGCTGCAAAACCAGAAAATCCTTCACATCTGAGCAGGGCCAGGTCACCCTACATTAAAGACGGGGCAGCAGAGCTGTATTTGTGCAGCGGTTAACAGCGAAGGATTAATTAGCACACATTGAACCCAACCCAGGACAGTCCATAGCGTGCTGAGCAGCCACATGAGAAGGAAGCCGGACATGTTTCAGCAGCAAGCACCTGCCAAGGCCTTTGTGGAAGGACACTCTCGACCTCAGATGGTTTAAAGCTTAGAGCTCAGTTCAGTCCTCCCTCCTTGCCTCAGCTGAGGGGCAACACCTCCCTCCAGCCGAAGGACCCGTGACTCAGCTATGAATCACCAACCAAGCTTCTTCATCTCATCCAGCACCACACCAGACACTGCATATGAACAATTATAGCGATCTATTGTCATGCTAAGCAGCCTGCTGGGCCCCTGCAGACCCACCGACTCCTCCATTCACCATCTGGGTTGCAGGGGCAGAGGTATTTTTAGTGCACCCAGTGTTTTTGAACAAGACATGGAAATGGCGGTTTTCTGGCCGATTTACCAGCGGTGGTTGCAGAGCGCAGGGCTGTGCGGTTGCCATGCCACCTCTAACCAGAGGCAAGGAGCAGGAGCACCGAGATGCAAAGCCCGAGTGGATGAATCACACAGAGCAGTGAGGCTTTGGGGAAGTTTCAGCCTCCGAGTTGTCAGAGCAATGCACAACTTCAGAGATGCCCTTTGCAGCCGAGGTCAGCCCAGATCTGTGTGTTGCATCCTCCAGAAAGCACCCTGCTCCCGCTGTGAGCTCAGCAGCAGCTGCTTACAATGGCTCAGTTTACTCACTCAGATCAAGCTGGAGACTCTCACTTTTGCACATGGAGAATGAAAGTGGCAAAAAGCAAAACTGAGATGTTTTGGGCAAGGAAAAAGTCAGCAGTGCTTTCCCCATCGGCTGTGGAGGCAGGCAGCAGCTCAACACACTGCAGACTCCCCTTTGGGGGGATCACAACGGCTCTGCCTCCATGGAGCAGCGAGTCTTCAGCATGAGCACGTCACCGACAGTGACGCAGAACAGGCTGCTGGAGGTCTTCACTCTCTGGACTGCAGTAGACAAATCTTTCCCAAACTGGTAGGCAAAATCATCCAGTTTTCCAAGCAGAGTGGGGGATGAAGGCAACGGCAGAGGGGCAGTGAAGGACTGCCAGCACTGGGGAATGATACCTTTATCCTGTAAAGATAAGCTACATCCTACAGCAGAAGTAGCAGCACTACTTCACTTGGATGGGATGGGGGTGAAAGGGCTCATGCAGACAGAAACCAAAGCAAAGACTCCTAAGTTCACCCTGCAAGAATTAATTCACTATATTGCCCTCCAGAAAGTGATACTAAGCCCCGTGAGTCACACATGAAACAATTTCTACTTTATAGTTTGTTCAAGAGCAGTTTTCTGAGCAGATGACATTTGAGGTAGAGTATGTTTTAGCTTTTTACTAAGTGCAAGATATCATTAGGTTTCCAGGACAAAACCAATTTTATTTCAAAAGACAGATAAGCAGTTTCTAGAGTTCATTACTCTCACAAGCTTTTCTGACAGTAAATGTAGCTGGTGACTGTTCAAGATGGAAAAGAAGTCCCTTTTATGAGACAGGGAAAAGACACTCAAGTATCTGCTCAGCTTTAAATAGACACTTCAGAAGGCAGCAACCACTTCCAGAGCTCCTCAAACACTTGGGCAGCTCAGTGTCTCTGCAAATTGGGAAACCTATATTTTAAGGATCACTTAATGGGCTGCAGTAGCTCAACAGCTTGTTCACATCCATTCTGGCAGGACTTATTCCATACCCCTTCTGTGGGGAAAAAAGAGCAGCCTCCACAGACTGCAGAGCAAGTTCCCCAAACCTCCTTCCACCACCCACGCTGACAGCCTGGCTCAGGCTCTGCAGGACATCCCTTGCCCCCAGGCAGCCATGTCCCCACCACAGACCAGGAGCCTGGGCTCACACTCGCCCTGCACCGGTCGCTGCAGCTCAGCCCGTTCCCCACGGATGGGTGCTCTGCCCCAGCCCGGCGGTGGTGGGAAGCTGGACAGGGTGAGCTCCAGTGTCTTTTTTGTCTGGAATTAAAACTGCTCATCCAGCAAAGCTACAGGAGAGTTTATGATTACCTGGCATAAGACAAGCTTAAGAGAAGGGATCAGCTGGAATGAGGCAGAAGACTGGGAGAGATGCACTGCCATCTGCTCCTCCCAGAGGTCCAAGAGACCAAGGGTCCCGCACTTTCCCATGCCTGTGGGAGAGGAGCAGGCTCCTGGGCTTGGGCCCTGTCCCCTGCAGAGCTGCCAGGGCTTTCTGCGCACACACAGCCATGAAAAGGGTCAACATCCTGGCAGGTGAATTTGCAATTGCATGGACCCAGAGCCCAGCACCCTCCCAGAGCACAGGCTGAAAGAAACACTGCAGCAGCGGCCGTGCTGCATGGCAGGAGCCACACAGTAGCTTTGCAGTCTTAAAAAAAAATCAGCAAATCTCTTTGCTTTAATCATGTTCATTGAAGTACAGAGCAGCACAGAAATATATCATTAAAACTGATCCGTCTGCCCTGGAAAATTCATCTGATTCCCTTTGGGAGGAGACACGGGGAGAGGTGCAACACAAAAGGAAGAGGGATGGGTTCCCTGCTATTGTCCCTGCTCAGCACCAAGGCTTCGGCTCCACTATAGGAGACTCCTTCTCATCTGCACACAGGCAAATCTCAAAGAGAACAAACGATTTAAATGGACCTGCTTTTATTTCCAAAGAGGAAAAGAATTCCTATTTGTTCTCGGGATCACAATTTTCTCCCCATGCTGCAGAGGATACGAACAAACGAGCAGGGAATGAAAGGGATTAATGAATGAGTGGGACGTGGGCTCCCAGCTGCAGGAGGAAGCGGGGAAGGCAGCCACAATGCGAGGGACTGCCGGAACGAGATAACCCGTACAGCTAGTGTTTAGTATTACAGACACCAAGGGCTCCCGGGGACCCCGTTCAAATGGAGATTAATTAACAAGCATCTCTGAAAGGATTCACTTAAGGGGAAACCAAACAAAGAGAAAGGTAGGAAGGGTTTAAAGTTTAGACCAACCACATATTCCATAAAAAGGGCTGGTTTTGCAGAAGTGAACTCCTGACACTACTGGGTTCCCAGCAGCTTCTGTCCTCCTTGAGAGACGGACCCACATGATGCTAGTTTCCTCCCAAAGTCTTAAAAGCTGCAGAAAACCAAAAAGACATTTGGTATTTACACCAACTGTTGCTCATTTAAGGCCTATTGACTCTCCTGGCTGGATCAGGGACATGTAGCCCTGTGAAAGCTGCAAAACGAGCAAAACTTAAATCTTGTTTTTCCCTTCTGTTCAAGATGTTTTAAGTCAACATCAGCAGATTAGAGGCAAAGTTTGGGATTAAGAGTAGTTTTTAGCCTGGCAAGTGAGCTGGTCTGATTCACATGGCAGTCGGTTCCTGGTACCAATGGCTTCCAATAAACTGCATCACCACACGCTTTGCTCTCAATGCCCCAGGAAAGATTTTTGCTTTGGCTCTCCAGTGCTTGGGAATGATGGGAACAATGAAAGCCACATGAAAGCCATCACAGTTTGTTTGGGTGGGTGAAGCAAGTGACACCACCCTCTAAATCTAAAGAGTTAGGAGTTACCCATCATGCTGCTATACTGCATGAATTAAAAAGCAAGCTTAATTTGCAGATTAGCTATTATAGTCTCTGACTGGATGAGCTTGCAATAAATCACCTGGGTGGGAAATTCCACAGCTATTCAATGACTGTACATCAAGCATGTAAATGTTGGTAAAGAGGTGTCACCTAATGGAGACTGATGTTGGGGAACTGCAGGCCACAGCCAGCAGAAGAAAGTCATAGTGCAAAGCAGGTCAGGGGAGGAGGTGGCAAACGAGAACACAGAGATCAAAATGTTTAGCACCATTCAAATCAGCCTCCAGAAGCCACACGCAAAACCAATGCGGGATTTTCAGTGACCTGCAAATTACAATGGAAACTGCTGGAATTCCTCACAGGCAGAGCTGGGACAGCAGACTGGAGAGGCAAGCCACTGCTCAGGACAGCCCCAGCCTCTCTAGCTTAGGGAGAAGCAATACAGATAGATCTCGAGGGGATTAACCTTCAACCAACAGCGAGGTTGTAGCAGATGGCTTTTGGGTGCCACAAGCCTGGATTTCAGGAGCATCAGATTTCACCATGATCAGCCTAGCTCTGCAAAGCTACTCCCTCGCAGCACCCTCGGGATGGAGCAGATCCCACCAAGCTGCTGATCCTGCACCTGGGCCAGAATACATGCCCCAAGGACCTTGAGGCACACAAGCAAGAGACTCTCCAGCCGAGTCCCACCTCTGACGAGGGGACAGCTGAGTTTTCTCATGAATGCTACCACCCAATGCACCTCTCGCTCTCACTGGGGAAGGTCTGAGCCAGCCCATTTCCACCAAACAGCTGCCCCAGGCAGCAGAGCCAGAGCAGTGACAGGAGAGCATCCTCCATATGACACAGCCTACGCAGAAACTTCTCTTTGCCTGCTTTGGGTGGCTGCAGCCTCACTGCTCAGCGGTGCCAGGCGCTGGCTCCGGTTCTGTTTGGGACTCCGTTTTCAGGGAACCAGATTTTCAGCTTCATTTTTAAGGAGGCTCAACCCAGGGCTACGGAGCATCCAACCCTAGAAACTGCTTTAGAATAGCAGGCCCGAGTGGTTTTATCTTCTCTAAGCCAGGACAAACTGGAAATAAGGCTAGTTTAGAAGTGTTTTTTCACTGTAGCGGGTTTGAAGCTTTGGAGGGCAGTGTCACCCTCAGGCCCACCCGTGGGATGCCTGGCTGACCTCCCCCCGCATAGCACCAGACCTCTGCCCTGCACCACACTGCCTTGGCAGCCCAAGCACTTGCTGCCAGCACAGCACCAGTGCTGCTGGGTTGGGCAGGCCGAGAGGCAGAGGAAAAACCTCCCACCTCCCTGGAGGTGATCCCAAAATGGGCAAGTGGCATTGCTGAGGGAAGGCAGTGCAGTCCTGCAGAGCTGGAGGAAGCCAGGAGATAGCAAAGCACCTCATTCCATCAACACTAACAACACTTGTAGCCTCATAGGTGAGATTTCATTTGCCAGAGGAGCTAGGATTTATTACCACGATCAAAGGACTAGGAACAAATGCAGACACTGTTGGATGGAAGCTGTGAACACTACAGCATTATAAACACTTATCCAGGGCTGAAGTTAAGAGAAGCAGCAGAACCAGGCTGCAATCTGCACCCAGGGCCAGGACCTTGATTAGACCCAGCAGGAGATGTGGATCTTTCTCTAATTCACAGCCACCTCCTTCACCACAGGCTGCCCACAGGGTTGCTCAGCCGCACAAGGGCTGATACTGCCAATTTACACGGAGCAAGCACTTGGGCTCCCAAGAGAAGCTGCTCTTGCTTGACACTGTGTGCAAGCTGCATTCACGCTCAGCCCTGGTGAGCCGCTGGGGAACACCAGGAGCCCCCAGCACCCCCACCACTCACGGGGCTGTCACCCTGCCTGCACTGGATGCATCGAGCAAAAAGCAGCACATTTGCATGGCACAGCTGCCTGCAGCCCCCCATTAACACATCCCATCCCAGCAGCCAGGATCCTGTCACCAGCTCCAGTTGTCCAAAGTTGCAATAGGGTTAGATCCATCCAGTGCTGCTGCTCTGTTGTTTCCCGGTAAGCAGCAGGATCCTTCTCCAGGATGAAAACGGGTCACCACTGAAGTCCTGCAACTGTTGCAGCTCACAACTGCAGGATATCCCTCATGCTCCTTCCCTTTAACTCCCAAACGCAGCTTTTCAGCAGCAGCAGCAGGCTCCCTGATGCACAGGCCACTCCTGGAACAGGGTTTGCTGCATGCATGGCCCCCCATCGCAGCACCAGGATTTGTCCCAAGCCCCATGGTGATGACTAACAGCATCCAGGGATCTCAACTTCTTAACCCAAAGGGTCCTTTCCTGGCAAACCAGCAAGAGTCCCAGCCACAGCCCCTACCTACTTCCCAACACTAAAAGAAACCCAAAAAGGAAATATAGAAAGCCCAAGTTAATATTTATG